GCTCGCCTAGAATACACAGTGCAGAAGAAATGAGGGAGGCCTTAGCAAGGCAGAAGATGAGACCCAACTTTTGAAAGTTCTGCTCTGACTTTCACTCGTATGCCATGGCACACATGAGACCTCCCTCCCAGTAAGCAGAGAAACAAAGATTAAGGAAAAAAGGATGCCTGTGTTTGATAATGACCATCAATGCGAAACAGGAGTACTTCCTCAGTTAAAGTCAAGGAAGTTGGTTTGACTTGTAAATTTATTGCTATTTATTAAAGTCCAACATTTTGAAAAGACAAAACTGTATCCATCTATGTCACTGGCAGAACTTGATTACGGCAGAACTACCGGCATTTGCAAGTAAGATGTACACTACTCCCTCACTCAGAAATGTCTGAGATCGTGCACTGAACATTTATCTCTAATGACTCTGACTTTTATGGTTCTTACCAACATCCAAGGAAGCCTCAGAAGTAGAAAATTACTCACTCTGTTTTCCAGCAATCAGCAAGAGCTGAGCACTTCTGCCCATAAATCTGAAACCCCAAATAGTCGGAAAGTCTAGAATCTTTTAAGTGCTGACCTGACATCGCAAGTAGAAAATTCCCTAGTGTGGAATTCTGTTGTACGCATAAAATTGCATAAAATGATAGTTAGGAACATACTTTCAGGCTATATATGCAAAGTGTATATAAACCACAGATGATTTTGCATTTAGATTTGTGGTCCATCTCCTAAGTGCCACATTATGCATATACAACTATTTCAAAAATTGAAAAAAATGTAATATCTAAGTTATTTCTGGTTCTAAACATTTCACATTAAGGATACTCGTTGTGATATATATGACAGGGACACTAGCAAAGTTAGAATTAAATCTTGAGTTTAATATCTCAGCATCTAGTTAATAAAGTGCCTACCATGAGTGCCATTTCTCTTTCTAGGCCTTCTGAAGGAGTGACATCCCAACATCCCTTTACATTTTCCCCACTGCTGATCCTGGGAATTGGGGTTCAGGGATTCGGGCATGCTAAGCCTCCCACCACTGAGCTGCATGCTCATGAGCTAACATTGTAATAGAAGACACAAGAGAAGTGAATTAGGAAAAAAAATGTCAGGCTCTGGATTTCTTACACTTAAATGTCCTTTTCTCTTTCCTGGATTGACTTTGGACAAATATGCTCTGTGTTTATGGCATCCAGCTGCAAATAACATGCCATGTGATAAGATCGAATGTACTTTTCCTTTTAGCAGCAGTGGCTGTAGACCATGACGGATCGGAAAGACCACGGTTGGAGAAAAGGGTGGTGACTGCCTTAGCAAAGGTGGGGCTCAGGCTCAGCCTCCCTCAAACTGTACCTCAAAAGCAGTAGCTACTGCTGCCACCTCATAGGGCTTCGCAGGCAAAGCACTTGCAGGTAAATTTTTGCGTGTAGTCCTGGTGTTAATTTTCTGCTCTTAGCAAGCATTCGGTGCTGCAGGCTTTGGGAGGGCTAGCCAGTACCACAAAGCATTTAAGACACTCATCTACCTCTGATTACGAGCAGGCAAGTTCTCAGATTTCCTGCTTATTCTTAACAGACATTGCTTCCAAATGTAAACTCCTAGGATCACATACTGTATTAACTTCCTGTGCATCTTCCACTCATTTTGTGAATTTTATAGCGCTTCATTTGAAGATTATTTATATATGTAATTCTATGGCTCACAATCTGTCTTTGAATTATTATCATCAGAAGTCTGTGGAATCATGGATATATACTATACTATACTACAAAATATAGAACATATGGTGTTTATAGTTAAGATTTTGTATTTGGCACATGAATCCTAACATACGAAATCTTAGTGTTACAGTTCTAGTATTTGGGAAAACATTTACTTCTGAAATCTGGAATGTGCAGTATTTGTATATATGCATGAATAGCATCTATATATATTAATATGCAAATGACAGAAAAGATAGACACATCTGTACGTTTTAAATAACCCTGGCTTTTAGAGTTGCTGACTTTGATGCAAGTTTATCTAAAAATTATATTCACAACACTTGGGAGAATTCTCTGTCTTGTGAGTAAAATATATGGATATATATTACATATTATATGATATATGTAAACTATATATATATATATATATTATATTATATGTGTGTGTGTATTTGCAGAAACCTTTCTGGAATAATACTGTTGACGCAGGCAGTAATGACTGTTGATTTAAGAATCGTATCTCACATTTAAAAGAACGCTGGAAAGACAAGTTACACACAGACAGCCAGTGTAGGGTAGAACAAATAGGATTTCCTTAACAAACAATAGAAACGGGGCTTCCCAAGGCTGCTTCTGAGTTAGACATTTTCCTAGTAAATCATCTAACCCTGTCGACAACTGGCGGAATATGCATCATCTTTCTACTTTAGTATTTTTATTACTCAAAGCTGAAACAAAAAGTCCGAATATTTGACCCAATATGTAGGTAGCTCTAGGAAATGGCAGATTTAGGACTGAAACTTGTATGTCATGGCACAGTCCCCTCTTCTCTTTGGAGACAGCATGCCTAATTATCTCAGGAATTTAGTTAAGAGGAGAATGACTGCTATCTGTTGTATGCTTTAAGAGACGCCAGAGAGTTGCTCGAATCCAGAAAGTAAAGCCGATGTCAGAAAAGAGACTGACTCCTAGATAATTTAGTTTTGTCTGCTGTCACTAGGTGCTCTGGAGCCTTCAGAGAGGGACAGAGATGTTTCAGTAATCACATAAAATGTGCATAAGAATAAGAATAAATAGCTGGGGTTTGGGAGAATGAAAACTAATCAATAAATTCTTCTTAGCGCTATAACGGCATTTGGATGGAGATGGAAAATTCAAGTCTTAATCTTAGGGAATAAATTCTATTGTAAATGATTTTGACATTTAAAGTAAGCATCCTCATTTATTTGTTTGTAAGCACCTAAAAGAAATGGTAATTTTGATTAAACAATTTAATGTTGCTGGCATTATTAATAAAACCTATCTCTGAAGGCCACTTCAGAACAAAAGCTGTGGTTTATTTATATTACGTTAGAACCATAGTGAATCCTTAGACAAATTTCGTGTTTATTTCTTTCTTCCTATATCTTTTTTGTCTCTCTTTTCTCTCTCCTCCTTTCTGTAATATTGTTGTTGCAAAGAGCCCTGCAGGAAAAAAAGCCAAGTGGGAAAAGAGTCATAAGATCTTGTTTGATGCAAAATGACTTTAACTGTATAATCATTTAATAGATACACAAGCTCATTTTCATGATTACTGGATACACTGTCATCACAGGAAGATATCTCAAATTTACTTCATGGTTTTAAATACAATCTGCCTCCTAAAGTAAGACATTATTTTAACTTCAGGGATAAAATCTGACAGTTCTATCATTTCCAACACATATAACATGCTAATGGGAAGATTTGGGTTCCCCATGCCCTCTTTTATTTTATCTTCTTTATATTGAACCTATTGAGAATAACTGTATATTTTTATTTCTTATCCATTCATTTTTCATTTAAATTCGAGATGAATTTACTAACTATGTTCCTATGTTCTCTACTATGATGATTGCAAATTATAGTCAGAATACTTTGTTTAGTGTTTGTTTTCTTTGCTTGAATTTCACCAGGGCATGGGATTTCACTCTCCATGGCCTTGATCCCTAGATGGAGTCCAGAATCGCCGTGTCCTTCAAAGGCTCCTGACCACCTTGTTGAAGCACTGGGGACCCTTGTCTTGGCCTTACATGTGTACCAGTTGGTATATCTTAAAGATATCTTAGGTCACACTATTTTGTGAATACAAATATTTCTTCTTCACACTATTTTAGGAAGAAGAAGAAGAAAAACAAAATAAAATAAACTAAAACAAAAAGTCACAATGGTCCCAGGGTGATCAGGAGCCTCACTATCTTGTCAAGAGTGATGTGTGGCAATTTAAATATCTACTTTTAGCTGCAGAACAAAGAAGCCTAGACAGAGAGATAAAGGGACCCAAACTACACTGGATTCCAGAACAACAGGACTGGGAATGTGTAACCACGTGTTATAAAGCTATCATGGCTGGATAGGACCCCCAGACCTCCTCTCCAGTTAGTGACTTCGAAGTTCTGAACATTTGAGCATACTATTAAGTTCCTTTGAGAAATAGTTGAACAGTATCCTTATCATGTAAAAAGAACTTGATTTTGGTATACACATCAATTGAACAGAGTTTGAATAGCTTTCTATTGCCAAGTAATAAATTTTGCATTTGACCATAGTATTTACACTAGAAGGTAGCCAGTATTTTTAGAAAATGCTAAAAAGTAATATGAGCCTGAAATAATTCTGCACTGGCATCATATTTTGGATTCAAGACAGTTTTCTCTGTAGCTTAACAGCAGCATGTTACAGGACTGTGTTCTGATCTTTATATCTGACAGAACTCACCATGGATGATCACAGTCACAAGTATTTTATTCATATGTATATTAAAATCATTTTGTATTACCTGATGTTATTATGCCAACTAATTTGACTATGTCCTGTGAGTTATTTTAAAAAATCTTTCAAAATATGACTAATAACTCAGAATGTTATTTAAACCTAAAGTCTATTATTTTAATACATCAGATTTTGGCTTAAATATGAATGAGGGTCAAGATAGCTACAGTTTCATTGACTATTAAATATAACACACGCACACTCTTGACAAATTTGACTCCATTCAGAAGCATATTTAAGCCTTAAACCACAATGATTTAACACACCTAACATTACAACCCAAAGGTAGATTATGACAGTGTGGGCAGAGAGAAATCCAGCAAAGTTTATGTGTTACCTGCTTTGGGAAATAAAATACAAAATTAATGTTACATTTCTTACCCTTGTAAAAGAAAAACCAAGCCTTTTCCAAATGGTAACACGGTGCCAGGCAAAGCTACTGACATAGTTCCAGCTTTAAAAGTTCTGAAAATGTTGTCCTACTAGTAAGTGTGTTAAGGGTGCCTTACAGACCTTTCCAATGCTTGGTCAGTTTGAAGCCTCCCCAAGGCGACGGCCTTCACAGGAGCTTTTCTTCCTTCCCCTGGTGAGAAGAGGTTGGTCTTGCCTGTCCATTAAGGACTGCCTGGTCTGTGGTACTGAGACAGCCGTGGCCTGAGACACTCGTCCCCTCTCTTACTCTACTCAGCTATATTTGGTAACTGAACTCATGTTTCAGCTGAACGCCACAATCAGGAATCCCAGGAGCGGCTTGGGAGGCAGCCCCAGATCTGAGGCTGGGTTCTTAGAAATTAACACTCTTAGTGTAGAAGAAACCGTAGTTATGCATTCAATAAGCTTGGCATTTCAACATCTTCCACTCTGACTTTGTAGCTAGAAGTCACCACCTGGCCTTTTCACAAGCTCTTCATTGTTTGCTGGTATATTTTATGATTCCCAATAAAACAAATGGAACGTGGAAGGAAGAATCCAAGAATAATCTCCTTGTGTGTTTAGCTTTTGTCATGTAGTGGGTTCTCCTAAAATAGTAAATTCAGTAACTATTTAAAAATTCAAACTTCTGCCAAATTGAGTGGAGATCACAACTGCTTTCTTACTCCATAATTAAAAATTGCCATGTGTCTACGGTGTATATTAAAGATACAGTCCAAGGCATAATGAGATGGAGACTAAATATAACAAATGTACAGCAAATGGACACTGAGCTGATACATCAAGAACATTTAGCAAATAATTTCCTGGAAAAACCAAACAAATGGATAGTGAACATTTGTCTAAACCAAGCCTGAAGCTTTCATAACTGTGGAAAAATACTTCACAAATCCCTTTGTTAACTATTGTGCCGCAGCTCTCTATGGCCTCATCTGTATTGTTCGCTCATTAGTAACAAAGCGAGCCAGGGAGAGCTAACAGCTTCTCTTGCCCGAGTTCATCCTCCAGAGCAAGATCTAACCAAGATTGTCGACTAGCGTGTGGGTCGAGGCATACGAAAGGTCCCGGGAAATTCAGAAAGCACTGGAGTCTTTATTTGGCTGCCATAACCTTTGGTCTAGTTTCATTTCTGAAGAAGGCCAATCCTGAGTGCGGAGTTTGGTTTTTGTTCTGCTCTGATCCTCGACGCCATTACTTCCATGTCCGATGCCCCCTTCCATTCATCAGTTAGTGATTTTACAGATTACTCTTCATAGCCCAAGAGTGGCAGCCTTTCTAAAGCGCAGCTGCCTCAGCTTACCCTTGCTGGTGCAGGAGAGCAGTACAGATGGGCTAATGGACAGAAATTGATTTGCATGCTTCTCAAGGCTGGGAGATGGAGGTGTCAGCAGGCTCATTGACAGTGAAGGTTCTTTTACTGTTCCTAAGCTGTCACTTGATTTCTGTGTCCTCTGGCAGAGACAAGTCACTATGCAGTACGAAGTAGAAGATAAGGGTGTTTTTATAAGGGCATCTAGTTCTATTCAAAATGTCAGAACCCTAAATTTCACTTCTAAAGGTCACAGTGTCAATATTGTTGCACCGGGAATATATGTTAACACTTTTGTTTTATACCCCAGAACTAAGCAATTTAATTTTAAATCAGAGATCAAGACAACTGAAGGTGTACACCAGTCAGCATGCCTGCCAGATGAACATACAAAGGAATAATTGCTTTTACAGATCATAGGAGGGAGAGTTGCCTCAGCCTGAGGTGCCCGTCTCAACACGAATTTGGAAGGAACAAAATGTTCAAACCTTAGCATTGATTAAACAGGTAAACACTTGTTTAATATACTTTTTATCCTTTAAGAAAAGGCAAAACCAGAGAGGGCAGAGATGGAGAGGGAGGGGATAGAAGAAGCCTAAAAGTGGTGGAAAGTGGTAACTATGAGGACCGGTTCAAGTTACAAAACTTTAATGCTTACAGAAGGAAGTGGCGATGGGAAAGAAGTGGTTTGCTCTGGGATCCCAGAGGAATCCAACAGTGAGAGGCTTCAGACCTTCCCTTGTACAAAACTTTAGTTGAGAACTCCATTACTGTTAACAGTATTGGCACAGGACCTAGGGTCTGGATTGTCTGCAATAACCTGCATTAGATGCCCATTTTCCATTCCTGCTTTAACAGCTACTAGGCTCCTTCTCATGCCTGGGGAAGGCAGGAGTTTGCTCCTCTGGGACTTTACAGCAGATGCTGGTGCAGAGATGCAAAGCATAGATGTCAATAAAGAGACCATGGGAGAAATGTACTATTTTCTCACTTATTGTCTTTTTGTCTCCTCTCATCTCTAGGAGTTGGTCAATCTATGTCCTTTATTGAACACATATTTTTTCTCATTTCATGATAGGAAAACTGCATCAATAAACAGGCATGGTACAACAGCAACAGAAACAGATGATTGGATAGCTCTTATCCAAGAAACAGTAAAAATAGAGACACGAGGCTCTTGCATAATTGTTCCAGTCAATGATCGATTAGTTGGCCTAGAAATCAATCCTTCAAGCCTGATCAGTCTTTTGACAACTTCCTCTGACATTGTATCTGTCTTAGATGCACTTCCAAGAATCAAGTATGGCATACATTGAGTTTACCATCATCTGCACATTAGTGAACTTCAGAGCTGTTGCCCATAGATTCAGTTTCCTGAGAGCTTGCTTAATCTACTGCACATATGCAACCTGATCGTGTGGGCAGTCTTCTGGGTATAGGACACTTGACACTTTGTGTATGTGCACAAAATGATTAAACCAAAAGGACTCAACACCAAAGTAATAAAACAGAATTGAGCCAGGCAGTGGAACGGCACGACTTTAATTCCAGCACTTGGGAGGCAGAAGCAAGAGGATCTCTGTGAGTTCAAGACCAGCCTGGTCTTCAAGAGCAAGTTCCAGGACAGGCTCCAAAGCTACAGAGAAACCTTGTCTTGAAAAAACAAAACAAAACAAAACAAACAAACAAAAAATGAAAACTGTATGTGAAAAATGAGAGCAGATTCCATACTTTATATTCATATGTGAGTATTGGGCACTGTTGGGTATTATATGCTTTTCCCCTCCTCAGAACTGGGAACTGAACCTAGCACTCTAACACAAAGCTATATTTCTAGCCCCAGAAATATCATTTCTTATCTGCATAAACAGGGTAGGTGTAGAGAAAAGTTCTATACAGAGTCAAAAAAATCCCTATTAATTTCAATATACCTTACTTAATTTAGGAAAAATAAGCACATATCTTAACAAAGACAAAATAAAATTATGTATTCTATTACAATCGCATCGTTATTTGTTGAGTAATACTAAATTGCATATAGTAAAGGCACACAGCAATGTCTTGAAGAGTAATATGTAATATTTGATGGATTTATTAACCAAAGAAAGAAGTTGTATATTAAACTAAAAATATACTACAACTTAAATTTATCTAAGTTGAAATACCAAGTTGCCTTACCATGCAAAGATAAAGATTTTAATTCAATACATTAATAAGTTGAAAGGGGAAAGCCATATTGTTAACTCTATAGATTTTTAACAAGTTTTTGAACAAAATTCATTATCCATTTTCATTTGAAATATAACTTTGGAGGGTGAGAAAATGGCTCTAACTTATTTCATTTTAAAGTCTATATGCACATGTGTATGTATGATTGTACCTGGTACATATGTACACATTTAATCATGTACGCATGTCATGTTCCATAGCACCTAGACATAAAACATCAACAAATATTACCAAAGAATATGCAAGTCTTTTTAAAAGATTAAAATTTACTTAATGTACATTGGGTTTTGTCTACATGTATGTCTGTATGAGGGTGTCAGATCCCCTGCAACTGGAGTTATAGACAGTTGTGAGCTGACATATGAGTGCTAGGCGTTGAACCTGGGTCCTTTGGAAGAGCAGCCAGTGAGCATCTTTAGCCATTCCTCCAGTCCCTATGTAAGTCTTTTTTAAAAAATATTTTCTTGTATTTATGCATCTGTATGTGTATCTGTGTGGGGGTGTATATGTACATGTGTGCAGGAGCCTTCAGCGGCTGGAAGTTGGAGTCACAGGTGGTTGCGAACCTCTGCTATGAGGGCTGAGAGCTGAGCGCAGGTCCTCCGTGGAGCGCAGGTCCTCCGTGGAGCAGCAGGTATTCTAGTCATTGAGGCGTGTCTCCAGCTCCTCCAAGCAAGTCTCAGCAAATGTGGAAGATAAGATGGGGATGCAGGACTAGAAGAAATGGAGTGGTCTATCCCATTCCCATCACAGGAAGAATTGATTTTGAGACGAGTCAGTTTTCGTAAGAAAAAAAAAATGCTCTACAACCAGCATAGACTCAATCCCAAAGGCACTTGGTCCTGTGGAGTTAGAAAAGCAATACAAAGTTTCCTCCAGATGAATGTCCAAAGCCAAATACACAGGAGGACTGTGTAAAAGGGATACCTGAGTAGGCTGGAGCAACAGATGCCTTTGGATGCTGATGTGTGAACAGTCCCTTGAAATAGCAGGGTTTTGTTTTTTTTTCTGTTTTGTGCAATTTCATTGATCTCTCTTTTATTATAGATTAAAGAACTGGGCGTGAGGTCTGAAAAGTTGGTTCACATGTTAACATTTGGAGAGGACCAGAGTTCAGTTCTTAGCACCCAGGTTGAGTGGCTCACAGCTATGTGTGACTCTGCCTCTAGGGACTCCAGTACCCTCTTTTGGCCTCCATAGGTATGCACAGGCATATATGAATGCTCTCTCTTTCTCTCTCTCTCTCTCTCTCTCTCTCTCTCTCTCTCACTCACACACACACACACACACATGCAAAGACACATACACAAATAAATAAAAGTAAATAAATAAAATCTGAAAACGGAACTGTATTTATATTTCACTTCATTTAGCAAAAACTCTATGGGGGAAATGGAGTGGATTGCAAAAATAAGTATATGTATCTATAATTACAATTCCTATTCCTCTCCTGGTATACGGTACACTCAGTCTCCACAGTGGTTCACGTTTGAGGAAAAAAATACATTAGCTGGGTCAGGGTGGATGGAAAACTTTACTGCACTGTGCATTCCATGCAATTACTTCTTAATATAACATCATAAATTATCTTGAGTGTTGCTGTTTCTTACTCCGCATATCTTTATTAATATGAAATATTTTTAAAGTGCATTTGAAAATAGAAAAAGTGTTATGTAAAATATAGCTTTAATTTACCATCTAATAAGAAAACTTCTTTTGTCAGTTGTTATTGCTGG